GTGAAGGAATCAAAACACTTTGGAGAAATGACTGATTTCAGGACTAGGGCTGAGAAAGTAGAAGATGAGCCTGAAACATTTTGTAGTGCTAGAGAGTAAGAGAGTGCTCAAAGAATGACGGGAATAGGTCCAAAGGACAAGGAACCACCGTGAATGAGCCTCCAAATCTGGGACAATTTGAGAATCGAAACAAATAATGACAGTAACAGCTTACAATCCAGTGAATAAAATGGATTTACACATAATATATAAATAAGATGTTTGTGCGTATATATATATACATATATGTATGTAAATTGGAGCCCTGGTGGCGCAGTGGTTAAAGAGCTCAGCTGCTAACCAAAAGACCAGCAGTTCGAATCCACCAGCCGCTCCTTGGAAACCCTATAGAGCAGTTCTACTCAGTCCTATAGGGTCGCTATAAGTCGGAATCAACTAGACAGCAACGGTTTTTGTTTTTTTTTAAATATGCACACCGATATAAATAACTAAAGAAGGGCAAGCTCTTCTTTACAGTAGAATTCCCAACTAATACTTAGAGAAGGACTGATGGAATTAAAAAATACTCATAGTAATAATTAATCCGGGCAAGAATCATCAGTGGATGCTAAAACTAGTGGATGAAATTGTGATAAGTAATTACTAAATTATATCAGCCTGGAGTAGGGTACGGTCAAGTCCAGAAACTTACGGCACAACGCTAGAGACACTTCATCCAGCGACTGTCAGCTGCTGTTTCAACTGTGTTGCTAGGTGTTACATTTGCAATAGGAATCTCTGGGTGGTGCCAACAGTTAAGTGCTTGACTACTAACTGAAGGGTTGGTGGTTTAAACGAACCCAGAGGTGTCTTGAAAGAAAGGCCTGGCAATCTGTTTCCGAAAGGTCACAGTCTTGAAAACACTGTGGAGCAGTTCTACTCTGCACACGTGGGGGTCACCATGAGTCAGAATCGATTTGGCAACTGGTTGGGTGGTTTTATTTTTTATGTTTGCAGTAGGTGGATAACAATAATTACTTGCTGAGTGCCCACCGTGGGACAGGCATGTGCTAGGTGGGTTTTGTTCTTTGTTTTTGCATATAGTAGCTCATTTAATCCTAACAACAACCCAGCGAGTTTTTTTACTGGCATCTCTATTTTCAAGATGAAGAAACCAAGGTTCAAGAAACCTGTCTCAGTTCAGAGAGCTACTAAGAGGCAGAACCAGGATTCAAAATTCCTGTTTTCTGGTTTCAAATTCAGTGCTTGCTCTACCACACAGTGTGTCTCCAGGTCCCTTAGAATTCTGTGCATCTGAAAGTATGCAGGATGATTAGATCAGACAGGCGTTCTTCAACAGCAAGTACCAGTGGTTCCTTTTTCCTCCTCACCGTATTCGCTAAACACCACACCGCCATTCTCTCATCTGCAAAATAGGGTCTGGTTGCTGTCAAGTCTATCTCGACTCATGGCAACCCCACGTGTGTCCGAGTAGACCTGTGCTCCACAGGGTTTTCAATGGCTGTTTTTTCAGAAGTAGATCACCAGGGCTTTCTTCCCAGGAGCCTCTGGGTGGACTTGAACTGCCACCCTTTTGGTTAGCAGCAAGCACGTTAACCATTTGTGATACTTAATTTATATGACTGTTATGAAGATTAAATTAGACAACTTTCACAAAGCATATAAACGAAACCAAAACTCATTGCCACCGAGTCGATTCTGACTCACAGCAACACTACAGGACAAAGGAGAAGTGCCCAAGAGTGTTTCCAAGGCTGTCAGCTTTACCACATCTTTCTCCGCAGCTGGCGGATTGGAACCGCCAACCTTTCAGTTTGCAGCTGAGCATTTAGCCACTGCGGCCACTAGGGCTCTTGTAAAGCACATAAAATCAAACGCGTTGCCATCGAGCGTATTCCTACTCATAGCGACCCTATAGGACAGAGTAGAACTGCCCCATAGGGTTTCCAAGGAGCGGCGGTGGATTTGCACTGCCCACCTTTTGGGCTAGCAGCCAAGCTCTTAATAAGTGTTCGTTAAGTGATAACAGCGGCGGTGGTAATAATGGTTGTAATGCTGAATTGCCTGCTATGGTGGAAAACGTTTCTAAAGGACATCCGTCACTTCTGGACTAAATTAATAAGCAAGGGCGAGATCATCAAGAGCTTTGTGTATCCTGAAAAGAAGATTAAAATCTTTCTCCATAGGCAATAGAAACCGCTGAAAGATTTTATTACAGGGAGAGATGAGATCTCATTGGCAATTTAGAAAGTGGACAAAAAGGAGGAGAGCAGAACTGGAGGCAGGAAGACCGGTCAGGAGGCTGTTGGCCAAGACCAGGCAAGAGATGATGAGGGTCTGAGTTAATGAAATGGCAGGCGAGATGGAGAGGAAGGAACACACAATGAACAGCCAAGTCTCCAGGACGGCGTTGGGCAGGAGAGACTGGGCAGGAGCTTAGGATGGCCCTCAGGCCTCTGGTGTGGGCGTCTGCACCTCCTGGGGCATGTCCAGAATACAGAGAGGGAGCAGCATGGGGCATGGGATGGTGTCAAGCAGTTGGGACATACAAGGAAGTTACGATAGACAGCTGGATATTCAGATCTGAATGGAGGAGAGTGCTCAAGGCTGAAACAGTGTGTCTGGGAGTCACCAAAGCTGTAGAGGTGGGTGACATCCCTTAGGGAAGGGAGGTAGACTGAGGAGAGGGCTGAGGAGAGGATTTTGGTAGCACCGATATTAAAATGATGGCACAAGAAGGGGCTAAAGGAGACTGAGAAGGAACTCGCAGAAAGGTAAGAGAAGGTGAGGAGTTTCAGGGGAGGAGTTTTCAGCCATGTTAAAGGCTGCAGAGAGAGCAGATGAAGCAAGGAGGCATTGAAAGGTGCCTGCTGGACTTGTCTGTTGGGTCACTGGTGGCCTTGACAAAAACAGGTGCAGAGGAGCAGCATCCAGCCTGCCAGAGGGCTAAGGAGAGGGTGGGACTTTGTGAGGACTGAAGCTAGCCCCTGAATGCTCCCAGGGATACAGGGATCTCAGTCCCTTGCCGTCCTTCTGAAGTACTGTGGGAAAGGTCTTCCGAACAAAGCCGGAATCTCTCTCTCTCCAGTATCCTCCACCGGCCCTAGTTCAGCCCTCCTGGTCCTACACACACACATGGACACACAAAACCATTGCCTTCTACTTAATTTTGACTCGTGGTGACCCCATGTGTTACAGAGTACCACTGCTCTCTGAAGTTTTCTTGGCTGTAATTTTTACAGAAGCAGATTGCCAGGCCTTTCTTCCATGCTGCCACTGAGTGGGTTCAAACCACCAACCTTTAGGTTAGCCGTCAACCACGACCATTTGCACCACCTAGGAACTCCTCCACAGAGCTGTCCAAATACAGTTCTCCACTGGGTCATCTCAGCCAGCCCCTCCAACCATTCTTCATATGCCCCAGGCTTCCCCTGTGCCTTGAGATCTAAGACCTAGGATGATCCTGTTGGGTTAAAATTGGACTTGTTCTTTGGTAACATTGAAGCCTGTCTTTCAGTTGGTCTTTATTTCTCCTCCCTTTAAGCGTTGGCTGCTAACCAGAAGGTCGGCAGTTTGAATCCACCAGCCGCTCCTTGGAAACCCTATGGGGCAGTTCTACTCTGTCCTATAGGGTTGCTGTGAGTTGGAAGAGACTCAAAGGCAATGAGTTTTTTTGGTTGTGTTTTGTTTTGTTTTAGGTCGGTGGCTTTTCAACCTTATTTTTTAAACTTCAACCCAGAGTAAGAAATACATTTTACATTATCCTTAGTATACACACGTGTGTAATGGAAAGAAAAGTCTCATGAAACAATACTCACCCTTTCTACAGGAAATGTGCTCTAATATTGTCAGCTCCATTCTATCCTATTCTGTTTCATATTTCTAAATGCTGTCCTAACTCATTACATTGATTTCACAACCCACCAAATGGATTTAATGACTAATAGCATGAAATACACCGTGCTAGGAGACTCACAGGGAAGAAGATGCTAAGTGTTTGTCGGAACCATCCACGTTCCCTCCCTCAGGCTCTCCTGCAATAAGGCCAACATGCCTTTGTCTAACCTCCTCTTTACTTATGGCTCTGAGAAGATAGAGAGCTGATTCATTCACTAGGATCTTAGCCAGCCTTGGGGCGTGTATTTTCAAAGTGGCTCACTAGAGGAAGGTAAGCAGCCATAATGGTAGAATTTAGAAATGGATGGAGGAGAGAATGGCTCACCTATCAATCACCCCACAGAGGTCACTGTCCCTACACTTACTCATGAGACTTCCACCTGCCCAAAGCATTTTCATCCCGTGAGGAAGGCCTCGTTGTTGGGTGCCATCAAGTCCATTCCAACTTATAGCGATCCTGTATGACAGGGCAGAACTGCCCCATAGGGTTTTCTTGGCTGTAATCTTTACAGAAGCAGAGCTCCAGGTCTTTCTCCTATGGAGCCACTGGGTAGGTTCAAACTACTGACCTTTCTTTTAGCAGCTGAGCGCTTAACCATTTGCACCACCAGGGCTCCTTTGAGGAGGCGCCCAGGTGGTCCTAATACCACCTGGCACATGAGCCCTTTAAAATTCCCCCAGTTTAGGAGTATAGCCCACCTATCCTACAGGCCGTTGTTTGCCACCCCCTGCCCACCCTCAGCCAGACAACCGTCTGGAGTTGTGCTGCTGGTCTGCTCTCAGAGCTCGCGTCAGACTTGCCAGGCGGGGGTAGGGGGGACCCCTCTCCTGAGAAACATTGCCCCCTGTATATCTTTCTTCAAAGAACATTTGGGGATTTTTTTTTTTTAAATAAGAAAAAGATGACTTAATGTGTTTTAACATAAGACTTTGGAAGAAAGGCCTGGCAATCTACTTCCCAGAAGTCACAGCCATTGAAAACCCTATGGAGCGCAGTTGTACTCTGACACATGTGGGGCCGCCATGAGTCGGAGTCAGCTGGACAGCAACTGGTTGATGTAATCAACACTCTCATTCACAGTGTCTTTTCCGCTTCTACCCAGGAAGAACCAGGATTTCTGGATTTACTCTGAAGACAGGAGAAAGTTACCTGAGGAAGAACACATGTCGTGTCTCACCCTCTGAGAGGGGCTGCCGCTGCCATAGACGCTTGGGTCCTCTGAGAAGTCTCCAGAAGAGCTTTCCATGGTATACCTGCCATGAGCGAGGCCCTGGGCTGGGCCTCGGCTTCACCCTGGTGAACAAAACTCCATTCCTGAACTCAAGGCACTCACATACAGTAGAAAGATGAGTGAACGAGGGTGGGTCTTCCTCACGCCAGAAGAATTTGACCAACTCCAGAAATATTCAGAATGTGAGTAAATGGATTGACCTCCCTGGGGTGGGGGTTCCTCTTGGTTGGGGAGATCGTTTTCTGGAGAACAGAGAAATGTAATCATTGCAAAACCACGGAGAATAATGTTGAGCTTATAATTGTTAAATAATTGTTTTTAGGTTCTATAAATAATACATGCTTACCATAGAAATTTTCAGTGTATGGGGTAAAAAATAAACAGCAGGTTAAAAAATCAGAGTTAAACCCTATTAACATTTTGGAGCAGTCTCCTCCCGTATATATTGCATTACATGATTGAGTTCATACTGAATGCACCATTTTTTTACCCTGTATTTTCCACCTAAAATAATATCATAAACCAAAAAACCAAACCCTGTGCCGCTGAGTTGATTCCAACTCATAGCAACCTCATAGGGTTTCCAAGGCTGTAAATCTCTATGGAAGCAGACTGCCACATCTTTCTCCCACAGAGCCACTGGTGGTTTCGAACCACTGACCTTTTGGTTAGCAGTCAAGTGCTTTAAAACATAATATCACAGGTCATTAAAGACTCTGCATAGCTGCACACTATGTGGTTACAGTATTACTCAATCGTTTACTTTAGCAGACTTTTGCACTTGGATCCACTGACTTCTTTCAGTAAGATACTGAATTGTCATGTATGTCTCTTTCTTGGTTTTGTTCTGGAAAGACCTGAGCTTTCACTTGAGGTCTTTGGTTTCCCACTAGTTTTCCCCAGAACCATGTCAGTGGTGGTGAGACAGTCACATGCCGGCACTCAGCTGTGCCCCCCGCATTGTCACTGTTAGCAGCCGTCAAGCTGACTCCCAGCTCACGGCGATCCCATGCACAACGGGCCAAAATGTCGCCCAGTCCTGTGCCCTCCCCATGACTGGCTGCGGATCAGACCATTGTGATCCATAGGACTTTCATTGGCTGATTTTTAGAAGTAGATGGCCAGGCCTTTCTTAGTCCGTCTTAGTCTGGAAATTCTGCTGAACCCTGTTCAACGTCTTTAGCAACACAAAAGCCTCCACTGACGAAAAGGTGATGGCTGCGCTTGAGGTGCGTTGTCTGGGAATTGAGCCCGGTCTTCTGCACAGAAGGTGAGAATTCTACCAGTGAACCACCAAGCCTCCACCCCCACCCCCGCTGCTCTTAATAATGACCGGTGACAGGAATCTGCCCGAAGTGTGGCGGAGCACCCAGTGCTGGCTGCACTCTGCTCGCACGTGATGACCACTATTCATTGTGCAGCAGCACTGGCTTTCTACACAGCTGCCTGTCTCACAGAGCTCTCAGCCTGCGCCTGCCCCACCCTTGGTTCTCATCACCCTCTCCCTGCACGTTAATCGTGGCGGTGCCTTCATGAATCACTGAGCCCGAAGCGTGTCAAGCTGCCCTACGGAGTTCAGACACATCCCCCTGCAATTGCACTTTGGGCCGCCCCTCTGACCCTCCGACAGGACAGGTAGCTCTCGTGCACAGCACTGGTCTGGAACCAAGGAATCTGGCTCTTGCTCTCTGCAGTGTGACAACCCCTCACATCCCTGAGCCTCAGCATCCTCTTGTGTGACACGAGAGTGGTGGACTAGGCAATCTCTCCCCCTGGTCCCTTCCAGGCTTAACATCCTGTGACTCCACGTGCTCCCCAGGGTCAACAGGAATCTGTAGAATTATGGGTCAGTCTCCCTCCTGGGAGCCTGGAGCCCGTGGCCTCTTATCTGACCTCAGTGGATTTAGAGAAACTCTGTAAAATGTATTGACAAGGAGCAAGGAACCACCCTCCAGGGTAAATTCAATTTAATTTAGCCTGTTCTGTAGGTCAGCAAAGTGCCAGGCCCTGTCAGGGATGAAAAAGAAGCAGAAAGAAAAGCCCTGCCTCGAGGAAGCAGAATCTTGTTAGGAATCAGAAATGCACTCGTGACGCAAGTACAGAGCAGCTTCAAGCAGCGGGCAAACGACTGCTGGTAGAGTTGGCGCAAGTGAACACGTTAGTGAGAAGGAGATTCAAAGTCAGGGGAAGTTGGTAGAGGGGGTGTTATGGACTGAACTGTGTCCCCCAAAAATATGTGTATCCATTTGGCTAGGGCATGATTCCCAGGATTGTGTGATTGTCCACCATTTTTTCATCTGATGTGATTTTCCTATGTGTTGTAAATCCTAGCTCTGTGATGTTGATGAGATGGGATTAGCAGCAGTTATGTTAATGAGGCAGGACTTAGTCTACGAGAGTGAAATGTGTCTTGAGCCAATCACTTTTGAGATGTAAAAGAGAGAAGCGAACAGAGAGACAGGGGTATCTCGTACCACCAAGAAAGCAATGCTGGGAGCAGAGCGTGTCCTTTGGACCTGGGGCTCCTGAAGGAGAAGCTCCTAGACCAGGGGAAGATTGATGCCAAGGACCTTCCTCCAGAACCGACAGAGATAAAGCCTTCCCTTGGAGCTGACTCCCTGAATATGAACTTCTTACAGAAGCCTCCTAGACTATGAGAGAATAAATTTCTCTTTGTTAAAGCCATCCACTTGTGGTATTTCTGTTATAGCAGCACTAGATGACTAAGACAAGGAGGGTTAGCTGGGCAAACTTTATGAAGGAAAGAAGTCTGAAATTTGGGTGGTAGTGGTAGAGGGAGAGAAACAATGGAAGCCCAGGTAGAGGGCCACAAAGGAAGAGGGTGTATATAGTGTGATAAGGAGAGCTTCTGGACTAGAATGGGGAGGAGGAGAACAGAAGGAGGAAGGGAGGTAGCAGGAGGCCTTGAGGCTGTGTGTCAAGATGTGGGTTTTGGACCAAGGTGGCAAAAGCTGAGTTTAGAGTTGTGAATCTGGGGGCTGTGTGCAGGGTGACCCGGCCCAGGAAGGTGCCAGGTCAGGGAGGTCAGACAGCGTCCTTTGGATGAAATCTAGTCTGAGCTGAGGGAATAGGCTAAGCTGATGAGGATTGCAATTAACAAATGCTAATCGTTTGTAGTGGAAGTATCATCAAAATGTATGGAAAAAAAGGAAGCCATCAGAAATACCTCAAAGACCGTGACTCTGTGGGAATTGGCAGCATTAGGGTGCAGGGCTGGTAAGGATGGCTTTGGAATGTTGATTTTAAGATGATGATGACACATCCACTTATTTATTCATTATGTTTCAGGTTCCAGGGGAACGGCCTAGTGGGGGAAGATGGACGGGATTCAAACAAAGATGTCACAGTATGATAGGTGCTAAGTGGGGAGCACAGAGGAGGGGACCTGGCCCAGCCTAGTGGAAGGGCTCCCATTGCAAATGTTGTTTCTAGACTCTAAAACCAAACCAAGCCCATTGCCGTCAAGTCTATTCCAACTCATAGCGACCCTATAGGACACAGTAGAATTACCCCACAAGGTTTCCAAGGAGCAGCTGATGGATTTGAACTACCAACCTTTTGGTTAGCACTCGACCTTCTGGTTAGCAGCTGTAGCTCTGAACCACTATGCCACCAGGGCTCCCTAGAAACACTAGTAGGAGGGAAAAGGGAGAAGAGCCTTCCAGGCAGGGGAAGTGGCTTAAGCAAGGGCGGGGAAGTGGCTTAAGCAAGGGCAGGGAAGTGAGAAGGGGGTCATGGTAGCCTCATGAACTGCAAGCAGCTTGCAGGCTGGGAGCCTGGAGCATGTGGCATGGGAAGAGTTGGGGAAAAAACTGGAAAGGTAAGAACCCCATCCTGGATGGTCTTGCTTTCCAAGTAAGATATCCTGTGGGCCCCGCGGGTGAGTGCTGGGATGTGAGAGTGAGGGCTTAGGCTAGAGATCTGACTTGGGAATCATGGTGTGGAGACAGCAAGGGAAGGAAAAAAAGAAGAATGGAGGCAGCACTGCTGGGGGCAAGAATGTTGTAAGGGAAGAAGAGAGGAATGGAGAATGGGGCTTAAGGTGTGCCCACAACTGAAGGTCAAGGAAGGAAGAGGAATCAGCAGAAGACACAGGGAGAAGAACCAGAAGGGCAACAAGGAAAGCAAGAGTAGAGGGTCCAGGGGGCTAAAGGAAGGAGGGATTCCAAATGCAGGTTGAAAATAAAGCAGAGTGTTGAGTAGGAAGGGGTTTCTTTGTGGCTTGGGCCTTTTCTTCAGCCATCGTCTTTGTCCTTCTCTGACCCTTCCTCATGTTGGCCATGCCCCAGGACTGGGCCAGGTTCTCTGGCACTATTGCTCTAACGGGAAGGGGGGGGGGAATACAATTCTTAGAAAATGATTAATCCTTAGAGGAAACCCTGAAAAAGCCACTTCTACCAATTTTAGATGCATGCTGGTATTCAGTCACATTGCATTGCCATAGCAACCGCTCTTCTATAATCACCTAAACAGGAGCTTTACAATAACAAAATAACAGAAGTGTACAGCCTGAGAATTGAGAACTTTCTCCAGTGCAGTTACTAGGTGGTAACCTACTGCCATTGAGTTGATTCCAAATCACGGGGACTCTATAGGACAGAGTAGAACTGCCTCATGGGCTTTCCAAGGCTGTAGTCCTTACGGAAGCAGACTGCCACCTCTTTCTCCTGCAGAGCTGCTGGGGAGTTCGAACTGCTGACCTTTCGGTTAGCAGCCCAGCGCTTAACCACTGCACCACCAGGGCTCCTTTACTAGGCAATAGAGACCAAGAATTTCAAGACAAGGAGCTCTTGGTGTGTTCCATTGATGTAGCATAAAACCTGCACCTTCTCTGGTGCCCTTCTATCTGTATGTCTCCAAGGACAGTTGTAAGATAGAATACACATATATATATGTCCACAACAATCAACACAGTCAACAACGTAAAAACAACCAAAAAACCATTCCCATCAAGTCTATTCCAGCTCATAGTGACCCTATATGACAGAGCAGAACTGCCTGGTAGGGTTTCCACGGTGCAGCTGAGCTCTTAACCACCGCGCCACCAGGGCTCCTCAACAACATAAAGTGCGTATCAAAAAACGATGATATTAAGAAATTATCTTTTTTATAAAACAAGAGAGAAAGATGACAATTAAAGCTACCCGTGGTCCTGTCTCAC